CAAATTATGTCACCTAAATAAGGAGACTGCCTCATTATTTCTGATTTAGCAGTAGTCTGGAATATCAAATGAAGCATATAGAGTTGAATTCAGTTTTTGGATAGGAAATAAGCATAACACAGCTGACACTGGATAAAAAAGAAGTCTGGAGATGCTGTCTCCTTATTTAGCTCTGCTCCACTAACCAACTGGCCAGCACTAAAGTGAACATAAGCAGGAACTTGGGTGTGTGCATAAGTAAACATTTTGTCACTGTTATGTACATTTCACATGGCTGAAACTAACTGTGAGAAGTCATTCAGCACTCATCACACAACAGTTTAAGATCTTAGGAGGTTAAGCAAAATACACACTCTAAAAAGAGAAAGATTAGAAAATGCAAACGTATTTCAACATTAAAAAAAACAAGTAGTGAGAGCAGGTGACTTCTTAATAAAGGACTTCTACAGACTCAAGAGTTCTATTAAAGACTTTCTGGAAAGGTAGCATATGCCAAAATACTTCTAACACATACTAATAATACTTCAAGAACTGGAAAACATGACCTTTTGCTTAGGGCTTTAAGCTAGGTCTTAAAAAATCCAAGAGGCCTGTTCTTTGAGGCTGGACAGATTTCTGCACTCTGATAGGATTAAAGACTCCCATTTATTTTAGAGTTAATTCAGATTTAACAAAAACACACACAATCAAAACTAACCAACCAAAAAACACAATTAAATTTAAGTTCTATTATTAGAGGCATGAACTATGATCATAGATGTGTATGATCAAGGAAAACAAAAAACCCATCCTTCTCTAAGTTGACACTACAAATGCAAACTCTAGTAAGTTTTGATAGCTCGGAGTGACACTTTGCTATCAGAACTTGCCTAAAGACAGAAATAATATACTAATTAGACAGAATAAATGTACTAATACTGGGCTTTTTAATTTATATGTGTTTAGTCCATATTAGTACTTAAAACTTCACTCTGTGAATATTTCAGCTTACAGTAGCAGCAAGACTGACACACACCTAAGATATCAACAGGCAGTCTAGGCCAAAAGGCCTTCCCCAAAGGCAAGGAGGTTACAGAACTTCACATGGGCCATACTGGTTTATGACAACTAACAGGTAAAACTGCCTCTGAAGCACAAAGAACATGACCAATTGCCTGGGGACCCTTGAAAATCTGTGATCATAAACTGCTGCAGGCAGTTTATAAATTCTCAGATGGGGGGTTAGAAAAAACACCTTAAATATAAATAGCTTCCTGGAGTTTATTGCTCACTTCTGTTGGTTTCTTTTGTGATAGCCATCTCTTCCACTACCAAAGTAACCCTACTGTAACTGAAGATACAGTTAATCATTATTTGTACCTTAAACTTTCTTTCCAGTTTCAGCCATGATATGCCATCTTGTCAGAAAAACTGAATCCAACTCTCTAAATTCCATTTAAGATTTCAGATTACTACTAAATCAGAAATAATCCAGAGGGAATTTACTTTAAATTTAGCCATTCTTAAGCAACCATATTCCTAAATGCTTTGTACCAGTTCAGCTTAAATCAACCAAATTAAGCTGATGCAACTTTTGAAAACATTCAGTGCTGTGCCCAAGAGACTCAGCATTTCCCCAAGAAAGAACAGGTGTACAACCCTAATCCTAATTTGCATCAGTAACCACAGACACAACAACACTGCAAAGTTCAGTGCAGAGCTTACTGCATGGCACAGGATCCCAGTAAGATTCAGCCTGAGGAAATCACTACATATAAAAGACTAAAGACTACAGAACAGAGCAGAAAGAGATGAACTCTAAAGGCCAGGAGAAAAGCTAGGAACAGGAAGACATTGCAATGTGTAACTTCCAAGATCAGACTCTGGAACACTCACAGTTCTACTAATATCAGCAACTTCATTTTTATATACAAACTTTATCTATAATAAGTGAGATGTTCTTGAAATTTATACATGGCAGTTGAAAGTTACCCTCCCCAGATAGAGGTTAAGTGACATCTGATTTTTTGTTCAGGTACCTTCAAATAAACAGGACATTCTCCCATTCTAGAGTTACACATCAGAAAAACTATTTTTTCTGAAAAAAATAAGTAATACATGCTTTTTTGCTATAAAATTCTCTTGTCAGAAAGAATGCAGTGAAGTTCTCCTGATTAATGATGCTCATTATTTTCTCTGATGATCTAAACCCAAACACTGTTTCATCAAGAACCATTCTATTTGAAATCATGACCTCAAGAGCCTCAGATACTCTGATAACTGTTTCTTCATCCATACAACAGACTAGATGCCGACATTTTTAAATGCCATCAGATTTCAAGCAGGACCCACCTGACACACAGTAAAGCAGAAAGTTTTACTCAGCAACCACAAGCATGACCTCAAAGCACAGTAGTCCCCTTATTTTACAGATACTGCATATATATTAGCTAGAGGGCAAGTACCACATTTCCCTAAAGCTGATTCACTTTTACTTTATATTTTTGTCCTATTAAAATTCCTATCAACAGCCACAGACTTGCAAAACCAATTATATTGGTAAGAAGTACTTCATTCACTTTATCACCCATATCCCCACAAGATCTGATCTGGGGAAGAGAAACAGTGATACCTGCTAGTGTTAACTTAAGCAAGCATCCTCATACAGGAGACACTTGTGGCTATTAACGTTCTGGAGCCTCACTAGAAGAGCTGGGTTTCAGGAGAGTTAAGAAATGTCCAGAATAGACTTTCTGTTTGAAACATAACACAGAGCTATCTGTGCTGTTACGTATAACTTCCCCAGCAGCTCTTAAGTTCTTCAGCATCTGCTGGGACAGTGGTGCCTGGATGTCTGACATTCTTAGTGTGCACAGCATCTTTGGGGACAGTGGTGTCCATGGTACAAACAATTCACCCAGCAGGGAGAGAGCTCTGAAGACAGTGGACCTAGTGTTACATTAATCTTCGCAGCATCTGTGCGGATCAGTGCAATACCACAGCCATACTAAAGAATATGTCACAGCATCTGTATTGTCCACTTACCACAAATGGTATCAAAAACTATTGTAGGCCAACAGGCCACCAAAATTAGGAAAAAAAAAATCCAAACAGAAGAGGCATGCAATTTTATTACAAATACCTCTGTCTTCAAAGACCACTTCTGTTCCAGAAGACTTAAGTGTAATGAGCCATTTCTTCAAAAACCTTCTACATTTTCTGCTTCTTTAAAAAGGCTACTCATTTTTTAAATCCCTCACTTGTTTCAGTACTTATTTTGTTAATCCTTGAAAATCAGTACACAATACTTTTCAGTCTTCATACCTTTAATATGCTGTACTCATACACAATAAATAACTTCAGGCTTTAGAAATAAAAATACCTACAATTAAGTCTCTTAATTTCACCTCCTCCAGAGACAGGGAGGTACATGTGCGAGCTGAGTTTTTTGCATTGATAAGGAAATCTTCAGTTTTTCACTATACTGTATCCCTGATATAACACTTCTGATGTCTACTTGAAACATTAAGTTCTGAATTCATTTCTGTCTTACAATATTACAACTAGAGCACACTTCTACAGTACAGAAAAGTAGATGCTTATCAACATGCCATCCATGGCTCCATATTTAAAATTCAGGAGTAAAGGCACTCTATATTGAGATTGCCAACCCGTGACTGAAAAAAAATAATCTGTCTTTGCGCTCTTCAAATTGTCATTTCTCTATTGTGTAAGTTCACTTCAAGGACAGCATGGAAATCTACCTCATTAGGGGCTTTTATCACCTAACTATTGTTGTCCCCTTAGATTTTCACCTAAAGTTTCTCCCGATCACCACTTGATTTGTCCAATACTGTCTAAGACTGACATATTACACAGGGTACACTGGAATATTTTTCTGGAGGACACAGACAAGTATATGTTTTTCAGCAGAAAGTTCAAAATCAGACACAGATTATCACAACCTAAAAGGAAAGAAATATGGAAGCAAGCACATTGACCTTTCTAGTAAATTAAGCCTTAGATTAATTAAATTAGGGCAAAATAAGGAATAAAAGTTATTAGTTTCACAGCAAGAAAGTATTTAAGGCTATAGAGCCTCAAAAACCTGCCTTGTCAAATAATAATACATCTAAGCAACTACATTAAATATAATGAAAAAAAGTAAATTGATTTCGGACAAAGCATTTAATAAATGTGGTTTAAAGTGAAGCCTGCCAAAACTCCTGCAAGGCCTGTTGTCTCAGATGAAGTACCATGCACCTGCTCACTTTATGCTAATACTCTTACAGAGCCATTCACTTGTATAATTAACTGTGCATAAATTAATATCTGTCAAGTGGTTTAAGGACAGATGTTTGATTTCCTAAGGTGTTCAAATGAAACAAAATGTTTAGAAATGGACTGAACTGAACAACAGATATTCTACATTGTATCCTAGTTTTATTACTTTGCTAGAAGACTATGCATTAACTACTTTTCACAAGGATTTAAAGCTAAATTTATGCCAGAAACCGTACAACATTTAAACAAAAGCAACCTGCCACTAAGTCAAAAGTTCAGTTCAGCAGCAGTTCAGGAAGTTTAAGAGTGGCTTCAACAGAGCAGACACGCAATAAGAAAAAAACCCACCTATAACAAAAGACCTTTACAACACCCTTAAGAGCCTTATAATAACAATTTATCTTCCTGAGCTGAAATCGCACATTTTGAAGTCCCCTCCTGAGCAGCTAGGTATGTGGTACTACTCTAAGAGGTATGTACGCATTGCCCACACCAAAACCATAGAATTTTACTCTCCGACTAGGTATGTTCCACGTTGGCAAGAGAAATCAAAACAGCAGGTGCCCTCCCTAGATAGAGGGGCCTCAAACTCTAGAAATGGAAGAGACCACAAGCATGGGACTGCTCTTCCCAGTCTCCATCCAGCTGACAGCTGTAGGTCTTCTGTGAAAGAGGGTCTCCAAGTGGGCACCTGTGGTACGCCACGCTTTAATCCACCTCTGCCGCTCCCAACTTACCTACTCAGCCGTACATGCAAAATCTCGCACTGCTGGCAGTTCCTCTCCAAAGGCGGCTGGAAGTCGTTTCTGGAGCCTCAGGGCTCCTGGGTTTGGGCTCTGCAGTTCCTTATGGGCAGACACTCCCACCGGTGAGGCAGCAGCACGCAGAAGCAGCTAGAAAGTTTGCCACAATCTCTACCTTCCCCTGCAATTTGCTCCTCTCCCAGCCTCAGCCTCTTCTCCCTCCCGGCGAAAGGGACCGGCTTTAAGGGCGTCGGCGGAGACGACACTTCTCGCAGAGGTTTCCTGCCTCAGCAGTGCCGCAGCTGGAAGGGCTCTCCCGCTGGAGGGCGGCTCCGGGCCGGGGGGCGCCGGGGGCAGCGCTCGTTCGGGGCTGCGGCCGCCGCCGTGTTTGCCGAGAGCCTCATGCTCGCCGCGGTGCTCCCTGACATCATTCATTCTGCTACGCGCACGCCCGCCCCCTCCATTTCCAAGCAGTGACTCACCCCGCCGCCGCCGCTGTCCGGGGCAGGGCCGGCCGGACCGGCCGGGCCTCTCGGAGCCCCCGCCCGCCGCGCAAGGTGCCGGCCCCGCCTCCCGCTGCCGCCGGGCAAGGGCCACGTTAGCCCGCAAAAGGGGCGCCGGCACCTGCCCTGCCCACCCTGAACCGCCTGCTACGGGAAGGGCACCGCCCGCCGCCGCCGCCAGCGCGGGGGCAGGTGCCGGGGCCGCCCCCGCAGCCAGGCCACAGCCGAGCGCCGCCGCCCTCGCAGCGACGGGCTTCCCGGTTTTGCCGGGGGATTTGATTTCCCCAAATCTGCTCATGTGACAGATGACTGTCACTGAAACCCCCTGCTTCTCAAGTGTTTCACCCCCGTCTCTGAACTGGACATGGCTTTCCTCGGGGTTTTGTTTGGCTTTTATTTTTTATTTTTTTGCGGTGGGTGGAGGGGTATTCCCCCCCCCCCCCCCCCCTTTTTTTTTTTTAAAGATTCTTTTTTATTCAAAAGAGTTCCCCCATCACTACGTAGCAGACAGATTTTGTTGGGAGTTTTCCAGTGTAAGAAACACGTGATTGGCGGGGGAGGAAGGGAGGGGGAGGAAGGTGTCAAGTCATCCTCGCCGAAACCAGCTCTGGCCGATACCCACCTGCCCTGCCTCAGCCACCCGGCTGCAGCGCCGAGCGGGCACACGACAGAGCGGCGGCCCGGCACACAGCCCTGGCTTCGAGGAAGGCACCTGACCCTCTGTTCGTCACCCCCCTGGAAAGCCCCCTTCACCCAGCTATTGGCTTTTCTGCTTGCGTTGCTCACACTTTGTTTTTTTCCACAAAAGCTTGGGGGAAGGGAAGAGAGAATTTATTCCAGCACAGAGTGGAAAAATTTTCCGCACTCTCAGTTTTCTGTGGGACAGGGAAACTACCCTGGTCCAACAGTGACAGCCAGGGCACTGCTACAGACAGAATGCCAGGACTTCCAAGTTTTATCTCCCGCAGGCTTAATGCAAACAGTCTCTTATAACCAGTTAAACAATTCAGCAAGGCTACTGCTGTGCCTGTTGCTAGGTGAATGAACATACACACCTGTAGTGCTGAACCAAAGAGGTCTGCTGGAGCCTCACAGCTCTCTTTGGTGCTGTCTCTCTACTGTAATCCCCCCTCCCACCACCCCTCCAATTCTCCTAAGTAGGTAATGCTTCCTTTAAAATAAAATCTGAAAGGGAAAAAAAAGGTACCATGGGCAGGGCATTTGTTTTTAACTGATTACAGAAATACATAGATATGCCTTATTGCATACACAACCACATACATGCCTTTGCAGAATTGTATCTTACTTCAAGCTGTTCTACAGAGAGGACAATAACGGACAGAGTAACAGTTCAAGAGTAGAAACAGCAATGCAATTGGAAAAAAAAAAGTATCTACAGGCAAAGCAAAGTACAGCAAAGGCTAAACAGAGGCCTCCCCTAGTTTTCCTTAATTAAAAAAGAGCCACTGAAGAAAGGTTAAAAGCAAAGACTGTAAATTTTACTGGCATTTTTCTAAATTATTTAGATCAGTAAGCTGAAACGCTGGCATTACTCTTAAATAATTCTCTGAAGCACTTCATTTGAGTAAGTAAAAAATAGCAGTTCATTTTCTTACTTCATTCAAGGCTACACTTCACCCCCAGCCCCACAAGCCCACCCATGCAGATGAGAGGTTGAAGAGTAGAGCTCAGGGGTGGATCTGTGAGGAGCAGCTTCCAGGAGAGGGTCTTGAACTAATCTGGTAAGAACTGTTTGCAAGTCCTGCATAACAACAAACCTTCAAAAGCAAGCAGCAAATTTGTGAAGTCACAAAACTTGCTAGAGGAAATAGTAGCATATCTCTTGACCTTTACTTTAAACAAAATTGACTTCAGAAGATTGTTTTCAGACGGGAATTAAGTGAGAGATAACAAGACTTACAAAATGATAACTTATTTTGAGGAAAAAGAAACCTTGCACAAAGACAGAATTCCGTGGGGAGACTCACAAGTCACATTCCCCTTCACCTCCCAGGGAGGCAGATGAGAGGGAAAGAACACAGAAACAGAGCTTTGAGGGGAAAAAATAATTACTGTTCCTTTCACTTGGAACAAACCCAGCATCTTTTTCATTACTGTTTACTTTTTCCCCCTTTCATGAGATCAGCAGGGATATTATTGGAAACAGTAATTCTATAACCGAACACAGCCAGCTTGTGCATTAAAATTCTGACTATTTCCAAAGAGACACTTGGGCAGTTTTCAGAAGCAGCTTCCACCAGAATCCTGTTTAGTCCTACGATGGGAGAACTGAAGCTGCAAGATTTGGTTTGTGGTGGGGGGAACCAAGAAACCATACTGAAATTTCTAGTTCAAGCTGACTTTACAAGTTTATAGACAGAATAAACAGTACTACTACCAAAAAAAAGTTGCCTTTTTTTTTTTCTTTTTTCTTTTTTTTTTTGTAGCTAAGCCATAGCAGAATTCTGTGCAGAAACTGACAGGCAAAAAAAAAAAAAAAAAAAAACTATATACCTTTGCTCAGCCTAAGTAGTTTCAGAACTAATTAACCATATAAGTATATATGTTCTTAGAAGCTCACATAAATTTGTAGCCTTTATTGCAGCTATGTTAAGGGCAGATGAAAACCTATATATTTTATATTGAAGCATGCCATACACTCCAATAATTCTCGTCACTTATAATTCTTCCTTGCCTTTTCTTCAAGCAGTATATAAATCAGGGTAATCCTGCTAACTACTTCTAGTCAGGTCTAACATTATATTCTGTACCCTGGATGTCATGGCAGTCCTATTATAGCTGTGAAGGTGCTAGTTGATAATTCTACCTTAAAACAGATGGAGTAACTCCAGAATGATTTATCATTCCCACCCAATTATGAAAGAGTAAAACACACTAAAGCCCAATGTAAGTAGACCATACCATTAAGAGATTCTTCATCAGTATACACATCCTCAAGCCTTAAACTCCCCCTAACAAAAATAAGTTCCACAGTTTTTGAATTAGAAGCATTTCAGCAATGACATGAATTCTAAGTCTCCAGATTATAATTTTTGATCCATTCACTAGCTCTTTTTCATCATCAAGGGCTTTAGAACAAGGAGAAAGCTTACCTTGTAAATTCACCATTAATGTCACTATTTTTTGGCAACTGAACAAGTAGATGAAAAGATAAGCCCCAAGAGAAATCATAAGACAAGTTTTTCCATCACTCCTTCATAAGCACCAGTTCCAAAGTACACAGTCCTGCCCTACTCCTGGAGAGGCTGGGGCCTTAAGAAACACGTTTATAAATCACCACAGCTGGATCAAGCACAAGTTCAGCTGCTTAGATAGCAAACCTACCTTAACAGGTCAACCCCCAAAAAATAATTGGGAAACAAAAATTTTAAAAACCAAAATAATAAAAAAAGCAGCCACCAAACAAAGGAGACTACTAGTTACTATAAAGCACGAAGCTGCCAAGCCAAGCGCTGCCATACTAAGCACACAAACGTCGCTTTAGCGCTGCCACCTTGCACGAAGAACCCGCGAGCCAAGAAGCCCAGTGCCGCTCACTCAGCTCAGGGGAGCCCGCCCCAGTCCCCAGGAGGGACACCCGGCGAAAGCGCTCCCCGCCTGCCCGGCCTTACCTGCGGCCTCCCGCGCTGGCCCAGCGCTCCGAGCCGCCCGGCCCTGCTGCCCGACTGCCGAGGCACGGCTGCCGCCCGCCCTTCCCGAGCTTTCAAAGGAGGCGGGAAGCGGCGCCAGGCCAATGGCAGCGGGAGCCCGCCCGCCCCGCAGGTGCCCGGCCGGGCTCGGCAGGGAGCGGCCGCCGCCGCCTCCAAGCGCGCTGCCAGCGGTGTCCAGCTTGGAGGCATCTCTGGAGGCATCTCTGGAGACAGCAGATGCTTCCTCCAGCCACTTTCTTTCGACTTCCCGAGACCTACAAATCCGTGATTATTGTCTCCCGTTTGCGGAACCTTGGTGCTTTGCACAGTTTACATTCCCCAAAAATTGCTGTATGAGCTGTTTTCATAACCAACAGCTAGGCAGAGATATTATGTTTTTTAAACTATTTTTTCAAGGGCTTATGTGTTATTCAGAATGTCCCTGGATAGTTTCAGGGGGAAAAAAATATGAAACGTTGTGGAATTATACTCCCTGCTAAAGCTCATGAGGAGAAAAAACAGATTTAAACTACAGATTTTTTTTTTAAACAAAGCAGTAAGTTAAACAAACTTTTTACATTTCCCTCACTATTTCACTTTCATAAGCAGAAAAAGCTGTACCTCAAATTTATCCTATTTTTTTTTCCTTTGGATATGTTGTGGGATCATAGAATCATAAAATCATAGAATGGTTTTGGGTTGGAAGGGGACCTTGAATATCAAGGTCCAACACCCTGCTGTGGGCAAGGTCACCTTGCAATAGACCAGGTTGCTCAAAGCCCCATCCAGGGATGGGGCATCCACTTCCCTGGGCAACCTGTTCCAGTGCTTTACCACCCCCACAGGGAAGATTTTTTTTCCTAATATAATTAGGAATGGGACAGAAAAGGTAGGGGAGTGTGTGTTTTCTTGTTCGATTTTGGTATTCTTTAAGCATTCAAATGATATGAAATCAGATACGGCTTAGAAATAAAGAGATCTTGGTCAGTGTCTTTCAACCAGTTTCCTTAAAAACTGAAGCCAAAATTGATTTTCTCTCTAAAAATATGTGCATCGAAAATCTCCGTCTCCAGCTTCAGAGAGCTTTCTATACACAACAGTGGCATACAATAAATGCTTTTCTCTGATAAAGCAAGGTACTTGACACTTGACAGAGGCTGTAGGGGAGAAATGGGAGATCAGGGAACAGTGAAAATAAATTCTCATTTATCATCTCTATATTTGTGCAAGGTGATTCTAGGAAACTAGATGTAGATGACACCAAGTTGGGTGATGTTGCTGACACACCTGAAGGACAGGATACCAACCAGAGGGACCTAGACAGGCTCCAGAAGCGGGCCCGAGGGAATCTCATGAGGTGCAACAAGGCCAAGAGCAAGGAGCTGCACCTGGGCTGAGGCAACCCCCAG